TTTCGAATCACGGGCCCACAGGGACCCGGTCCTTTGAGGCATGCGTGGGGCCAAAGCCAACAGCACAGAGGCCTTTTTATACCAAATAATCTAATGTGTGATGTGTACATCAAGCCGATACTCGCTCTGTCTGCACTACAGAGTACACCCAGAGCCAGCACCGGCATGATGCAAGGACTATTGTAGGTGAGGGTCGGAATACTAGGGCTATGGGGAGGAAATTGCTGGACTGGTTGCTGGGATATTGATTGAGACAACGGGACGCCTGCCAAATCAAATGTCTCAATCTTGATAATCTCGGCAGACGGTGACTCGCCGCCCGCTAGGTGGGCCTCCACTAAAGGGCTGTTACGCGTAGTGCGTGGTGCCCTGGGACGCAACACTGGCGCGGGCGACTGAGGGGTGTCGAGAGGTGTACACCGCTTTCTGCGCAGAGGTCCTGGACAAGGGCCAGAACATACACCAACTCGCGACTTACGCATGTTTCACTTCCACCCCCCGAGTCCAAGCTCAGGCTCGAACTCTAGCGGCCCCACTCTGGCCGGCCAACTAAGGCAAGCCAGAGGTGAGAGTCCTGGCCTTGGGGTCCACTCCAGCGAGCCGGAGACGGCCAGTCTACACTCTCGGGGGTTTCTGGGGTCCGTGGGGACGCTACTCCCCAACAGCTCGTCACAAGCTGCCCTACGGGTAGCAAGATTATTATTAGCTAACTAGTATGATATCTACCTAAACTGAGTCACTTTACGTTTGTCAATCAAATTAAACGAGAAATTGGCTATTGTTTAGGATTTATTTGCAAATATTGTAGGTAAGGCAACTGTACAGTCTTGTCTACACTTCATCTAAATCCTTAGGTAGGTGTGCCAAAATATAAAACATGACGAAAAAATATTAATCAAATAAACATACTCTACCCAATACGCATCCAAAGCCCTAGTCTGTATATAATACTAAGAGCAGCTATAACTATGATGGCATTGATGGCGCTTCATTCATGAAGCTTGTTTTGTTAACTTTTGTTTAGCTTGGTAGCTATACTCTATTCTCGATAACAAACTAGTACCAAATGATCATATTATGTTATAGATAGGGAAACCGCAGTAAAAAGATTAGGTTTAGGTGCCTAACTAGCGGCCTACCCAGAAGCACTTTCACCATCTACTACCGTTTTCCCGAGGGAATTAGACTACTCGGCATATATTATGCATATAAACCTTTCTCTTCAATAACATTGCCCATTTAAAAAAAAACCTATGTAAGGACACGGGCAGCGACTTTGTTTTAAACTATGTAATGATTAGGAAGTTGCCTCGAGCAAGCAGGATCCGCGAAAACGTTATTAGCCCCATGTGAAGTCAAGTGTAAAATCCCTTTAACCTTCGTAGCGTATAAAGTAAGTTGGGCAGCCTTTGCTTGTAAGAACTGGAGAACAGGTTATACATTAGATCAGATCTTAGCTAGATTTAAAATTAACTCTAAGAATGGCAGCTTTGTAGATGTCAGTTATTCATCCACATACATTTCAAATATAAAAATAACGGTTTGATTTTACTTGATTCCTCATTCAAGAATTGTACTTTACTTGCACTGTACCTATGTATGTATTTTCATGTCGCGCCGGTATACTTGAATACTCAGAATATTAAAAATGAACGTGCAGGACAGTCCTCCTTTCGTCTGCACAATTGGTCACCCTATCTGAAACCTTCACCGGTTAACCTTAGCCTTTGCGACAACGCGCGCCGTGTAAACAATATCAGGCCTCCGACATAAATACAAATAACCTGCCAGTTTTCTTTACTTACAGGGAATACAAAGTGACAAGACAAGTGAACAACCAACAGCTTACTTATAAACATGAGGCAGTCGCGTAATAGAATTTGACTCCATCATTTTTTGATTTGCCGTGTGGTGCCGGCTTAGAATAGCATCACCCCATGTCTTTTTCGTGGGTGTCATAAGAAGCGAGTATGGGATTTGAGAGTTGATGTGTATTGCAATTTTAGGCGACAGGCTAACAACCTGCCGCTATGGTGATACACAGTCTTCTGAATGACTCTCAAACTTTTGTCAGACGTGGTGTAAATGGCCGTTTACAGCCGTTTATACTCTGCCTAGCCCGCAAGGGATATAGGCGTAATGTATGTTTGTATTTTTTGGTACAACATTCAGCAACCTATAGTCGTAAAGTTTAGTCCCAATAATATTTTCTCTACTTACAATAAAATTATCGTAACGCGAGAGCTTATTTAAGTTCAAATAGGTAAGGTATATCAAGTTAGCGTATCTCAAAGTTTATGTTATGGAAAAGTGATCCGTATTTTGGTAGCTACAATAATAAGTCACTCGTGCGTTATAGACTTACAAGTAGGCTTATTAGGAGAAACTTGAGCTTAATATTTAAACGAAATGATATCAAAAAGTCATGATCTTTTAGTACGCAAATAGCGCATAAATATTAATTGGTTAATCCATAGTCGAAAATAGGAAACAAAATACTTGCATCTTCAAATTCAACCAAAACTATGGAACTTCTGATCTAATCTTATATCCAAAATTATGGAACTGCTGATTTATATTCTCGCGATTTCAAAATTAAGCCTATAGTAATATTTATACATATTGACGGGTAGAATCAGCCTGCAAAGTTTCCTTAGTGACAAATATAAATAGGTACACAGACTAAAAAGTGGGTATAATAGAAATGGCCACCCAATCCATACCGATTTTGTTGATTAAAAAAGGGTTATTTTCGACAAAATGCTTTGAGAAACTGATCGTCTCAGAACACTATCAGCTCTACCTTGAATGAGCAGTGCAGGCAAGGGCAAAAAAGAAATGGACAGGAAGTCCTATGATGGTGACCGCTGATTAGATTAAAAAACCGCCGCCACCTATTGCAATAAGTACCTGTTCAGTACATAATAAACTTCAACGTTTTTCTCTCGCTGCAAGTGCAAGCACGCGTTGTCGATATAACACTTTTTTATCGTGCAAACACCATACTGATAGGTGCTCGCGGTAGTCTTTATACGTGACAAAACTCGCAACAATTGTGGCGTATATTTTATGACCCCTTTCGCAGCCAGAAATTGAGTTTATTTAGTTAGTAAACACAATTTTCACCGAGTAATTAACTTTTATATGATGGCGGCGCCACTTATCGGGGAGAAGCTTTTAGAACTGTTGCGTTACAGCGGGGAACATCAATAAAAGGGCAATTTGACACACTGCCTACACACACCTCTGAATACACTGTGTCCTAAACAGATTAGCTGGGTTGATGAGTAGCTGGTCTGTGAAAGATGAACTTGTTAATAGGTATCTAACAGCGTGCTGCTCAATAACAAAGTAAAATAATGAAAATGTCTCATAATTGCAACTCATGGATGTGTAGTTGGGTTAAATAATAAGAAGTATTATCCTTCCTTACTATCTAATATAAAAAGCGAATCGTTTCCCTTTTTTCAGTAGGAACGCACAATCCTTGATCACGCCGTATATCCAACACTGTCACTAGCAAGCTTTATTAGGTCATCAATCCTTCTATCTGGAAAATAAGTGTGCCACTTTTCCTTCTCCGACACGTGCTGTACCTATGTACCTACCTACATGTCTGACACAGTCATGTGGCATGGCTGAATTAGCTCATATGGACGCGAAGTGATCCACTTTAGTAACGTTTTCTAAAAGCAGGAATTGTTAAAGAAAAACCTAGGGTAGTCTGGATATCGGGCTGGTGTTGAAGGTGCCAAAAAACCGAGTGAGCACCGTAGGGCAATCGACCAATGAAATGTTTGCATCATCCATCATGCATGCAGCCTTATCTTAGGCCGCCTAAAGCTCAGCTGAAGCGTTTTTCATGGTTTACAATTTACGACTGTGCACTGAAAAAACTAAACTAGGGGAAAATTGTCGGAGAGCTGTCTCTACACCAAGTATCCTTCTGAGGCAGTCAGGTAAAAATTATAATACGATTACATTTCTAATACATTTGCCGAATCGTGTGATGCCGGCTTAAACAAGCATCATCCCATTTCTTTCACGCGGGAGTCGTAAAAAGCGACTAAGGGATTCAAGCGTTCGTCAAGTTGACAACCTGTCACTATCACTTAGTGATACACGATAATTTTCAAAGCCCTTCAATATTTAGCAATATTGGCCGTATTTCTACGGACCTTAATGATTTGTCTACCCCACAAGGAATAAAAGCATGATTTATGTGGTATACTATACATACTACACCTTCCTCTTGAACTGAACAGTCTATCTATCTATGTATAGAGAAACTGCATCAAACTCCATTGCGTGTGGTTTAGGAGGAGGATTACTTTGGTTGGGGTCTGGAGCAATCAACACATCTGATATCTATCGCCTTTGCGCATCTGAGTGCGTCTTCTTATTTAATAGACTCCGCCATATCCATTTAGTACAGACTATACTATACCTATTGTAGACTCCACATTACAGTTTAGAGCCAAGGTTTAGAGCAGTCCCGTGAAAAGAAATAAAGAAAGCAATATGCAATCTAAACAATACGGTTGGAACAGCTTTTTGCGAGCTGACTTTATAGCGAGCAGTTAAACAGCTAGTTACCTATAATACTTAACCGTATGCCGCGTTCGTGACCCCAAAACTGTTGGCAAACTCTCAAACATCTTCGGAGTAGGTATAAACATTAGGTACCACTATAGCACCGAATATGAACCTTTATATTCGGTCTATCTTAGCGGGTAGATGAACGACTGGACATTTAAAACTCTTACATCAAAAACTTAAACTACCTAAATTAGCATATTACCTATATAAGTAACACGGAACCGGAACGGCTTAACAAACCCTCCATAGGAAGGCCAAACATAAATGATGGATGATCCACATAGTGTGCCAATGGCTCAGTCAGACTACTAGACAATGGAAGCAGCGAATAAACCGGTAGGCTTTGGTTTATATGTGGTAGAATTTTAGAAATTGAAATCGAGAAAATTTAAAAAATTATTCGCGACCGTCGGGACTTGAACCCGGGACCGTGGATTACTGTCCCACCGCTCTCCCAACTGAGCCACGGGCGTCTGGCGGACCCTGATGAATTTCTCAACCGTCTCAAATTGGGACGGTACCCCACGGTCCCAGGTTCAAGTCTCTCAGTCGCTAATGAATTTTTCAATTTTCTCTTTTTCAATTATTGAGAATAATATATAGCACTGTGAACTGTGATTGCATTATAAATCCCAATACAGTGGTAGGATTTTATACGAAGCCGACTTGGCCTGATGAATTACCATCCCCTATTTCTGATGCAACACCGAAGTGGTTTTAATGACGACGCGTGAATGACTTAACTTGTCTGTGGACTGTGTTGCCGGCTTAAACTAGCATCACCCCATATCTTTCTTGTGAGTGTCGTAAGGAGCGACTAAGGGATTTGTGAGTTGATGTGTATTGCAATTTTATCATTGCAGCACATTGTTCTGAATGCCTCCCAAACATTTGTCAGACGTGGTGTAAATGGTTTTAAACAGCTATTAACGCTTTGTCTACCTCGCTAGGATTATAGGCGTGATATATGTATGCATGTATGACAAAATTTAAGCGCTTGAACCTGCAAAACGTCGCGTCGCAATTTCACTCCCTGACATGTGTGATATAATAAAATCTGCTCATCCATCATTAGCTGAAAATCTGTGCCCGAGGAATATGACGACAGTTCCCGGGAGAAAATAGACGCCGGTTTAAATTAAAATGGAAATGCGCACTAAAAATAAACGGCTATAAATAATTTCCCGCGGCCAATCTAGTTCTTCAGTGACGTTTTTCATCGAGAGTTTAGTCAAGCCGCATGCCACGTGTCTAGTCTTCGAGCGGGAACTTAAGTGTACACCACCTAGTCATCAACCAATATAATATTATTCGTATTTTGCGTTTCTCAGTCTGTTATGGACACCACTTTCTCAGTCTGTTATGGACACCACTGTCTCGTCCTTAACCGCGCAACGGATTTAAATACGGTTAGTTAATAAGAAATGTTCTACACATACAAAACTACCTCTTGAATCACAATAAGCAAAAATCAATTAAAAAAAAACGCATCAAAATGCGTCGCATATTTTATTTACGCTAATATCTTACTCTTGAGCCGAAGTTTTCGTTTTTACAAACATAATGTTATTTCTTAAACTTGGCCCACTTTACTATTGACTAGCGTATTCATTTGTTTTGAAATCAAGTCAACGTTAGCACAAACTTTGTTTTCTTGCGTTTTCGCCCAGAAAATATCTTCCTACTCCCACTGTGCAGCATGGCAGCAAACGAAATCACTACAGGGTGGACAACTACCTAGTCACCTATAGGCTACTTTTAGCGCTCTCGCATCATAAGCTCCTCATTACTTATCTACTACGAGAAAACAAATGAGTCACAATAATGTAGACATCCACTAAAAATAAATTACCATCCCATTCATACATAATACGTACGTCTACGTATATCGTAGTTGCGTAATTACTGCTCAGAATTCCTTGGCAATGGCATTCGGTTTACTTCTGAAATAGATAGTGCACACCCGTCGCTCGCATATTTCAAATTCTACAGGTTCACAGATTTCATAAATATCTATAGGGCTTCTTAATCTAAGGAGGTTCGCATTCAAACAAAAGCGATAACTAGGTTGATGGACTGAATCAAAAGTTGCAGCCTTACAAAGGAAGACCACGAAAAACCTGCTTGCATACCTTCTGCTAACCCACTCAGTAAATAGGTATCCCTGTATCGGGGTGCCAGCCAGACAGCGCAAAGCAGTCAGACTAGGCCGCATCAGTCGTCAGCGATCTTGATACGAGATACAACGAATGTTTATTCTAGCTACGCCATTTTTTTTATATTCGCCAATTATTATTTATTTTATTAAAATTTAGCAAGAAATGAAAAATTGCGGAACCTTGTGTTAATGCGACTAGATTCATGAATTCAAATAGTTGCCTGTAAAACCTGTGCGTATGTTAGAAATACACATACAAATACAGCCGCCAAACATTCGGCTATAGCCTCACTCAAATCTCAATATTCCAATAGTGCGAAATTAGTACTCGTTGCATCTCTTATCTTGACTACATGCTAGTCATGCTAGTCTGGGCAATGTGGCCGTTACATTCAGTAATAGTGCTCGTCGGCTTCGGGATTTAATGTTTACAATTTGTAGTCTATTTCAATCACCTGTGTATGTGGAGCTGTAATACCTGAAGCACGATTACGACGTCCCCCTCACCACTCTGCGTTGTCCTGTCAACTGATTCAGACACTCCAGTGATATGCGGATAAATCAATTTGGCAGTTTGCAATGCTAATGGTAAACCATTAACAGGGCTAAGGTTAAGTGACCTCTGTCACTATATTAGTCTCAGGAAACTGCAGAGAAAGAAATGTTTTTGTTTTAAAATGTTGCTTCACTTCGCTTCAGCAACAATAACAATCCGCTGCTGGAGACGCCCATGTCTCCAGATTGACGAGTTTTTGCCATACACGCCACGCTTGGCAGGCGTATTGGCCAACTAAGTGCAAGATATTGTGTTTACTGGGAACGCTGCTGCCCCTTCTCTTGATTCATTTTGTAAATCACAACAAGCCTATTTTAAATTCAGTTTCATACACCTAAGTATGACCAGCGTGACCACATCCGTTGTGCCAGTGATAGCCCACTCGCAGACGTAGGCAGGTTGTGACGTCAGCGCTGACGTTCCTCTAGGAGCTACAGCTACATGTCCACCCACCTAAAAATATGAAGATAAACTTTTCCTCCGTCTTGCACTTTATGCCTTGCAATAAAACACCCTTCAGATACACAGCAAATAAATACTATCTGTAAATAAAATGTTTCCGAGACTTTCGGAGTTCACCAATAGAACGTATATACATGACAGCACCGGATAGCTTCGGGAAACAAGTTCTTCTTTGAGTGGGACACCATGTCGTCCAACTACCTAATATACCCTTGAGTAAGAGTTTTTCAACCACCTACTGCAACTTTAAACTTTTATGTATACGTACTAAGTCCAAACAAATAAAATAAATGAATGCTGATTAGCTAAAAATAAACTGCATCTACTCGTATGTGGTCTAGTGTCCCAAATTTAGTTCTATGATCCGGAGGTCCCTAGTCCGATGCTAAAAGGGGAACATGAGACTTTAATATTTGTCAATTTATCGGATTTTCAGGTTATTCCTAGTTTGGTTGAAATAATGCCGACTGAACAGAAGCTTGCAAGACTGTAATACTGAAAGTTCTGTCCTTCACGATAAGTCAATTAAGTTCCGGGTTCAATTCCCGGTGGGGTCACTCACAAAGTTGATATTTATCACTTTGTGATTTTGTTCCCAGTCTGGTTAGGACATTGCAGGCTGAACCACCTGATTGTCCGCAAGTAAGATGGTTCCGTGCTTCGGATGGGCACGTTAAGCCGTCGGTCCCGGTTGCTGTCTATGATGGCGGTCGTTACACAACCATGTCAGAGGCCTGCTACTTGCAGTAGGCGGTTGAAAAACTCTGACACCAGGGTTCATCGGGTCGTTGAACGACTCGGTGTCCCACACGAAAAAGAAAGAAAAAGAAGACGATAAGTCGTCGGTCCTGATTGTCGTCTATGATTACTGAGATGTCAGTTATTAGCGTAGACCTAGTTATGTCAGAGCAGAGCACTATTGTGGTTCATTTGGTCCGATTGGTCGTCCGTCGATTCGGTAGTGTAACAAGCGATCAGGTAAACAAAATTTACCTGGGTAGGTACGTACTTATAGGACTACAGCAATAGCTAGTAGTAATCAAAGATGCACTAGGTTTAAGAATTTTAGATAATATGCTAAACAAAATCATTGATGCGCTGAAGCTGAATCTTTATGGAAAGCTCTAGGATACAGAGTCGACATGTTTAACAATTCTGCCAGTTTTAGAAATCGTGATCACTGATTTAGCCCCAGTTATACCTACTGTTTCATAAGATGCTCTTATGAAATATTTATGAGCGATGAACTAAATATTGAGTAGTATATAGAGGTCATTTCGAGTGACAGGCGGAGCAGTAGGCGATAGTTAGCTATTCTATAAACTTGCGGTAAAAACTGGCGGGTTGATCTCTGCTGCGCTGGCGCGGTGCCAGCGCCGCTTCCGTCCTCTTTGTGTAGAATCTGGGCAGATTTCTTCCAAACATATTGGGACATTTAATGATCACGCTTATAAAATTCTTGTGATTCTCACGCCTTTTCCTTGCTATTCGAAGAGCCAATCATTTATGTTACCTTCGAGTACCTACAATATTAAACTCGCTCATCCAACTCAAACGTGCACTGCACGCAACGATCCAACAATTAGGGTTGCCAACCCTACTATATAATATAGTATTCTACTATATTTCAGCTGTAACTACTATATACTGTTGGACAAATATATAGTAGCTAAATCTACTATATTTTGGGCAATTTTAAAATCAATGCCTCGTCGTCAAAAGCGTCGTTTACAGCGTAAAAAGTCGAGCTCGCGTCGCTCGCACTACGTTTACCTACCGGTCCGCCTGCTTTAAATTCGCGACTATTGTTTTGTTTAGGTTCGTGGCCCGTTTGGAGCGTGAAAAGTCGAACTCGCTTTGCTCGCGATATGAGTACCGTTTAGCCTGCTACACATTTACTGCTTGTGTTTAGACTCGACGAGTAGAAAAGCTGAACTCGAGACGTGCGTGTAATATTCAGCTTATTTTCCATTTTCCAAAAGCGGCTATTTTAGCTTCGACGTCCATTTGTAGCGTGAAAAGTCGAGCTCGCTTCGCTCGCGACATAAGTATATAGTTGTGGCCTATCATTGGTAGAAAATTTATTTCAAAAGGCAAAATCCTTTTAAATGTGATGCCTCTGGATTAAGACAATACTGTTTAAAAATAAAATGTTAATATATATTTTGTAAAGCTACTATTTTTTTTACTTCGGACTTGGTTAAATACTATATTTGGATCAAAAACAGTTGGCAACCCTACCAACAATCTCTGGCCTGCTAACTATGAAACCTTTCTGCTTACGATAGAATTATTCT